ATCCCCCTCCCCTTCCCCAGAGCCAGGTACTGGCCTCCCTCTATACCAATCTCTTCCCGCCCCTCCCCCCCCAAAATCCCGCTCTAACCTAATTCTCAGGTCCCGGAGGCAGACACACCACTACAGTTACACGTGCCTCCCTCCAGGTGCTGGTGGGTGTACGCTGAGCGGCTGGCCTTGAGATGTGCTGCCTGGGATGCCGTACGTACCCCCCCAACCCAATCCCCCTCCCTTCCCCCAGACTAGAACCAGGCACCCCCTCCCTGCTCTTGGGTCCTGGAGCTGCCGCTCTGGCCGCGTGTCTCCCTCCAGGCACTGGGGCGCATGCACTGAGCAGTCGGTGTGCCATGTGCACCCTCCTCCCGCTAACCTTATGCCCAGGTCCCAGAGCTGCTGCTGGCGCTGCCGCTGCTCAGCAACTGGCTGCTAGCACGGGTGGGCTGGGATGCTGTGAGAGCCAGTGTGCTTGTGCAGGGTACGATCTGCCGCTCTGGCCGCGTGTCTCCCTCCAGGCACTGGGGCGCATGCACTGAGCAGTCGGTGTGCCATGTGCACCCTCCTCCCGCTAACCTTATGCCCAGGTCCCAGAGCTGCTGCTGGCGCTGCCGCTGCTCAGCAACTGGCTGCTAGCACGGGTGGGCTGGGATGCTGTGAGAGCCAGTGTGCTTGTGCAGGGTACGATGCAGTGCGCTGGGGGCCATGAGCATGCGTGTGGCTCTCAGTGACCCAGCCTGAGAGCGGCTGACCTGAGCGGTTCCAGGTTCCGTGCCAGTTCCCTCAAGTGAGGTCCCCGGGGGTGCTCCACTGGAGGCGATGGGCTTGCCCTGGCACCACAGGCCAGAGATGTTTAAAGCTGTACATGGTCGGACCACACATGCGTAGGGGAGCTTCTTGCGGCGTTCACGCTCTCCTGTGCCGCGTGGTCCGGTCTTATCCAGTTCCTCTCAACCGCCTCAGGCTGCAGACAGAGCAGATCTTCGCTCCTCATTATTGACTCTTCTGTGAAGCAAAACCAGTTAATTTCCTCAGCTATCTCGTTTCTAGTTAATACGTGTTGAGGTTACTGTTCACATTCGAGTTTAAAATATATATATTTCTTAGTACTTGATACAGCTAAGTTTCCGTTCCTCCCCTCCCGGTTAGAATCTTCATTTGTATATAGTTCATCTTTATTTAAAAAAAACCCCAAAACTACCCTTCCATTCACGGAGATCAGCGTCTAGGCATGACTATACGAGGCACCATCCTTACCAGTGCTCTCCTTCACGGTCATTGCACTCTCACTGGGACCGCTATGATCACTCGCGTTACCACAGGGAATACTAACCGCGTTAGCATGAGTACCGTTATTTGCCAAGATCCCCACCAAGGTCTGCTACGGGATATTCCTCCTCCAGGCATTCCCCATTTTTGGCCCCTCCATTTCCTGATTAAGACCCACTGCCAACCCACCCTCCTTCTGACCAGGAGGAGAGGCAATTAACCACAATGGACACAACCCCCTGAAGTGTCTCCCACAGACCAGTCCTCACTGGATGAGGTGGTCATACCTGGCGTTGTCTCTGCACCAGATGACTTAAGGCAATTCCAGGACCTTTTTAAAAGGGTGGCAGCTTCGCAAGAAATATAACTAATGGAAATTTAAGAGAAACAACATCGCCTACTTAAGAACCTACAGACAACCCAGAGCGTGAAATTAGCTATACCTCTGGATGAAGCCATCTTAGAGGTGGCCAATGAACTATGGCAAACCCCTGCTTCTGCCCTCCCAACTAACAAACATGCTGACAAGTACTTTGTGCCCCCAAAAGAGTCAGTTTTTATTTATCCACCCGCAACCCAACTCCCTTGTGGTAGATGCGGCGCATCAAAGAGCAAAGGTGCCCCAGTATAAAAGCAATGCAGCGGACAAGGAGTTAA